AGGCTGGGCTACAAAGTGAGCTCAAGGGCAGTCTGAATTGCACAGCAAGACCCTGTCTCAAAAAAAAAAAAAATATATATCTATATATATATATATTGTATATATATTATGTATTATATATTATGTATTATATATGTAATATATAATGTATTTGTATTTACATATTATATATTAAAAAATGGTGACTACATTCTAATGTTTATTAAGAGAACAAATAGGTAAGAAAGAAAATTTAGTTCAATCCTATTACATAAGGCTATGAAAAAACACAAGGTATGTATTATATTTTTCACATGTATAAGAAAAACGAGGGCCCAGCATGGTGGCATATGACAGCAATCTCTGCATTTGGGAGGCTGAGGCGGACTATCCAGCCAGACCCTAACTCAGTGGAAAAAAAAAGCATAAAATCTCACTCGTTCCTAAAGGTAAACCAGGAAAAGTAAACTTACTTTTATTTTTCCCCACAAAAAGCAGGTTTCAGGTATGGATTCATGCTACGCTACATTCAATAACCTATTAATGTCTGCCACACACGTCACTGAAAGTCTAAGAGCAACACAGTACAGTGGGGAGATCGTAGGGTTTAGACGAGGCAGTCGCGGGTTTCAATCCTATTCTACCTATGCCTAGTTAAATGCATTGGGACAAGTTATTTATCTCACAAAGTATCAGTTTCCTAGTCCGGAGAAATGGCACTGATAGAACAATTACCACAATTAATTACAGGCCAGGCAATGTACACATGACATTGTACACAGCACATAACACTCAGGTTTTAAATGCCAAATTCAAGTCTCTCCTTATCTCAAGACTCTTAAAACGCTTTCTACTGAGCTTCTTAAAATACAAGTTAACGGTACCGGAGAAAAACCAAAAAAAAAAAAAAAAAAAATACAAGTTAAATGAGCAATTACTTCAACCTATAAAAGTAGTTAACTTCCAATGGTGCAGGTCTAAAATCAATATATTGTACTTTGTTTAGCTACTATTACCGCAGTGAGCATTATTTCATTCTACTCTAAACCAAGGATTTTCTTAATAATAATAATAATAATAATGATCATCATCATGTGAGAAAACAATGTAAACTACTCTAGAATGGTTTCTACTCCCACCTGCCAAGTAAGCAAGTAAGTGACTCCAAGTGAACAGCTCTGCTCCTTACAACTAAAGAAATTGTGTTTAACAACTGTCTGTCTTCCAGTCCTAAAATACTGAGCACTACACTATAAGTACTCCTACCCTTACCTTAATACCAGCACAACAGATCACACAGGTACCGCAACCTTAGTCCTGAGGGAGGTACAAATATCTAATAATTCAGATGAAAGCATCTCAGTTAAAAAAAAAAGATGCACACTGAAAAAAAGTTTTAAAAATGCAAGTCTGGTCCTTGGGTATAAGCAACAAAAGTACCCTTGGGTAGTTCCTAGAGGCAGTACCTTAATGAAAACTGACTCACAGGTAAATTACAAAAGCAAAGTATTAGCCTTGGAAAGAATTTATTTGGCATTTCAGATATGTTCAAGACACTATGATGTTTTGAAGATGTGAAGTGAGATGAAATAAGCATCGTTTTATCAAAGCTGGAAGTGATCAATTCAAATTTATATATAAAATGATGAAATTTAGAACACAACCCAATTTATAAAAGCATCACAGAGAATTCAATACTTAGGTACAAATGTAACCAAGGAGGCAAAAGACTTGCCAACAGTACACAAAGCAACTTACAGACTCAACGCAATCCCTATCAAAATCCCAGTGGATTTTTTTTTTTTTTTTTTTTTTTCAGAAAAAAAACTCCTTCCTAAAATTCACATGGAATCTCACAGAACCACAGACTGGAAGACAAACCATTGTTAACACAATTTCTTCAGTTCCAAAATCATCTGGGGTGGTAAGCACAAAACTGAGTCTCACACTTTATGCTTTCAAAACGTATTACAAAGCTGCAGTAATCCTAAAAGTGAGGCACTAGAATAAAGACAAATATATGAAAGAGTGCAAAAGAACAAAAAAATCTACAAATAAACCCTAGCACGTGGTTCCCTAAGAGCCCCAAGACCACTAGAGGGGAAGACAGTCTTCTCAGCAAAGGCGCCGTGGGAACTGGATGTACAGATGCAGAAGAATGAGCTGGACCCTCAGTGTACACTCAGTGACATGTACTCCAAATGGATCAAAGTCCTAAAGGCAAGACTTGAAACCAACAAGCTCTTTGAAGAAAACAGGGAAAGAGTCTCAGGAGAGTGGATTTCGCAAAGATTCAATACAACATCAAACATCCTAGGCAAAGGAAACAACAGCATGAAAATGCAACCTACAGAAAAGGAGAAAATCTGTATTGTAAACCATTATCTGACAAGGGATTAATATGCAAAGTTTATCAAGAACTCCAAATCCAACAAATCCAATTTTTAAACGGACACAGGACTTGAACAGACAAGTTACCAACAAGTACAGCAGGCTCTGCAAATCAGCAGGATCCACATGTGTAAATCCCACCTACTGCAGATCAAAAATACCTAGGGAAAAAAATCTGTACCAAGCATGTGCAGATTTTTTTCTTTTTATAATTTTCTAATATATTACAATGACTATTTGTAATATCTTAGGTATATTCATATCCTAGTATCCCAGAGGTAACTTAAAGTATGTACAAAGATGTGCACAGTATATGAAAATACTGTCACCATTTTATATAAAGGACTTGAGCATCTGTGGATTTTGGTATTCACGGAGGATCCCAGAACCAGCCCCCCCAGATGACTGTGTATGAAAAGATGCTCACTCAGTATTCATCAGGGAAGTGCAAATCAAAATCATAAAATCACTTCACACCTGGGTAAGCTGATCACTATCAGAAACAGAAAATAAAAATGTTGTAATTTTATTACCAACTCTTATTCATGGCTGTTAAAATATAAAACAGTATAGCTCTTATGGAAAACAGCATGGAAACACTTCAACACAGTAAAAACAGATGACAGAGGACACAGCTGGTGGTAGAGGGCCCTGTCATGCATGGATAAGATACTGGGTTCAATTCACAGGACCATAAAAAATTTGATAAAAAGAGAATGACCATATAATTCAGGGAATTCACTTCTGAGTATGTCTAAAAAAGAGAACCATGAGATATCTAGACCCTCATGTTCACTGCAGCATTACTCACAATTCTCAAGAGGTGCAAGGAACCTAAATGTTCACTGACAGATGACTGCAGAAAGGAAATACAGCACATCCACCCAGGTAACAAAATCATTCAGTCTTTTTAAAAAGGAAGGAATCCTGTCATGCTACAACATGGGTGAACCTTGAGGATGCTGTCCCAAGTTAAACATGCAAGTCACAAAAGACAAACACTGCATCACTGGACTTACGTGAGCTATCTGAGTCCCACTCAGAGAAAATGAAAGTGTGGCTGTCAGGAGTGGGGAAAGTGTAAAAGGGGGGTCAGTTATTCAATGGATAAAGAGTTTCAGTGCTACAAAATGAAAAAGTTTTAAAGATCTATTACGCAGCAGGCACATCCTTACGTCTGTAGTATGCATTGTTAAAATGGTAAATTTTATATACTTTTCACATTTCAAAAAATTTTTTTGAAAACTATACAGAAAATAAGCCCTGAGAGTTCAAACAAGTGAGAAATTATTTTCAACTAGATTTAAAAAAATCTTTGATGATGTACGGGACCAAGAGATGGGGGAGGGAAAGGGGTGTGAGCAGAAGGAAGATGTGTGACGTACCGACTGCCCACAAAGGATGTCATCAGCGTGTGCTCCAAACATGCACTACTGCTAGCAAAAACAGAAGCTGGGAAAAAATGATGGTGACCTTTTAGCTACTACAGGCCTCTGCTAACACAGCAATTATGCCTGTAGTACAAAAATAAGTGTGGTGGCGCATGCCTGTAATCTCAGCACTGGGAAGACTGAGGCAAGAGGATCCCCGTGGGTCCTCCATATATAGGATCCATATATAGCCTGACCTATATATAGCAAGATCCTGTCTCAAAACTCCAAAACAAACAAATAAACAAACTACTTCTGATATGCTTCCTTCTGAAGCAGACAGCTGAACTCGTGTCTTTCTGAGTCCAAACAGGCTTGATGGGAAGGGATGATGCTAGGCACACGAGGATGCCCTGCGTCCTCAGACTGTAAGCTACCTGGCACCCCGGTGCGGCCCCATCCCAATTAGCATAGCCTCCTCTTACCCACCACTTACTTTCTGTGGCTTCAGTCACCCTCGGTCAAACATGGTCCAAAAGTATTAAATGGAAATATCCAGAAATAAACAAGTTTTAAATACTTCTACTATAATGTATTATCATTACAGGGCAGGGGTGTGGCTCCCTGGCAAGAATGCCTACCTAGTATGCATGAGACACTGGGCTCTATGCCTAGCACGCCCCAAAACTTATTATAATTGTTCCTTTTTATTAGTGGTTTTTTTTTCTTTTCTTTTTTTTAGAGCTTTGCTATGTAGTTTAGGCTGGAGCTGAGCCCACCTTGTAGCCCAGGCTGCTCTCGAACTCACAGCAATCCTCCTGCCTCGCCTCTAAAGTGCTGGGATTACAGGTATGTACCACCACACCTGGCCGATTGTTAACTATTGCTGTTAATCTCTGTCCTTAATTTAAAAATTAAGCTCTATCACAGGCATGCATGTATACAGAAAAATAGGATTCAACACTATTTTAGTTTCACACATCCACTGAGGGTCTTGGAGCATATCCTCTGAAGATGAGGGGCAGGCTACTATAATGCAAAGCAGAATCAGGAAGTCCCACAGGAAAAGGCCAACATAATGAATTTTATGATATATATATATCCTCATTTCCCAGCACATGTGTAATTTTGTAAGAAACCCAGAAATCAAGAGATTAGGACAACCCAACGGATCCCCAGTAACACATGAGCCGAGTAGCTGAGAGGTGTTTTCCTGCCTCTGCACATACTAGAGACACACACGTGAGACCAACACCTTACCTTCGTCAAACTCAGCGTCATCCTCTGTGTGCTGGGGGAAAGGGAAGCAATTCGTAATTTCAAGTCGATCTTCAACAACCAGGCCCAAAAGTACTCCCTGAACCACCTCAGTTCCTTGTCCTTCTTCTTGATAATGTTTGATTATCTTTAATACCACCTGTAAGAAAATACAGAAATGACATTGAAAATCATCCTAGCTTATACTTTCTTAATTTCTAAGAAAATCAAACCATCCCAATGAGCTTGCAAAACCACAGAACTACATAACAAGACTGAACAAATGTCTTACAAACCATTTCCTTTAACCTTATGTAAATAATAAAGGTCACATAAGGTTACTCGATACTCAACCCTACTAGTGCGGTGACTAAACCACTGTTAAAATTAAAGTAAATGAGAGATAACAGAAGTCATATAAGCTAAATGTGGATCTTCAGACAAATTCTAGAACTTATTTCTAAAGAGCTAGTTCCTACATAAAGGAAAAACTGGTATCTAGAATCCAGCAGTTTCACCAAAAAAACCAGTTCCAAATACCTTGTATTCCCTTTTATAAAGAAAGTAGGGAATATGTTAAAACACATTCCTGCAGTTCAAAAAAAAAAAAAAAAAATGATTTTCTTAACTCTTTTCAACACACTAAAGTGTTATATTCAGTTCTTTACAATGACCAGATAAAAAGTTACCACTAACAGTACCTAACTGGTAGATAGTCAAAGCACAACGGCTGAGATACACACAGCACCTCCCAGATAGTGAAGGCTTATCAGGCACTGGAGAATTAGTCTCAATTTGAAAGCCAAACCTAAGGATCACAAGTTTCACTTTCAAGAAAGAAACTTTCAACCATAAGGATGAATTCTCTCTAGCATTTAAGCCTGTCCAAAATAAAAGCCTTCAAGACTTGATCACTAAAATAATTTTCCGTCTCTAATACCTACGATCTTGCTATTTTAATACAATCTGATGACATAATGCACTCAGAAAAACCTTTCTTATCAAAACTAAACTGACTCATTTCAAACTTCATGGTCTCCCTGCATACATAATAAACTTGAATCTTTAATACAAAAAATAATGTAGTGGGAAAATACTGCACTGGAAATGCTTTACAACCTTCAAACTAAGAGCCATTTAGATGTCAAGAAGAAATTTCCTGATCAGAGGTAACAAACTGACATATGTATTTGTGTTACTAGACATAGACAAGCAAGAATTTTACACACAGTTCAAATCTGTATGCACCAGTGGTGTCTCTATATAAGATGGAATCCACGTTCTACTTATTGTCTCCCCCTTCCCCCATTTTTGTCTCCCCTCTTAAATGTTCTCATAAAAATTAAAGGATCTTTTATTCAACATCCCATCTTCAAACCTAATCCAGCCAAAGGCACATAAAAGAAATCCAAAATGTATTCTGTTCAAGGAAGGAGTGATAACGATGCGTCGATCATTTGAAATATAGCAAGAAACTTCACGAAGTGTCTTCTACGCCAAGTATGTCTCATCTAATCCTCACAACCGCTCGATGAAGTCAGTTATACTACCCACTTTTATAGAAACAGAGATGACCTCCCACGGAATTACTGCAACTGAGAAGCGAGATTTAACTTCCGAGGCCAAGACACCTTTAGTTAAGTCACAATAACTGGGTGACTTTAGGCACTGCCAACGTGTTTTAACAAAGCTCAAATGGATATGACGCAGAAGTTCTAGCTCGAGTTGCAGCGGGCTTCAGCAGGAAGTAGGAAAAGCTTAGTGCGGGGCTTTAAGGTAAGGCAGCAAGAGCCTGCTTGGGCCCTGGTCACTGATAGCTAAGTCGCATCTACAACACACTGCCAACAGTTCCAAGAATGCAAGGCGGCTTTCCATCTCTAGCAACACTATTCTCACAAGGTACAGGATGAGAACGCTGCCCCAAAGCCCCTGTGCAGTCACGCTTGCTCTTCTCTTTCTCTTCCTCTTGCCAACCATAGGCCTCTGTCCGTAAAATGTGAGAATATATTTTTAATCACTGTTTATTGATGTCATGCTCCCTGTTCTTAATTTTTAAAAACAAGATACACAGAAAGCTCAGTAGTTCTCCTACAGAATAACAAACTCCCTTTAACGTATTTTGTTTATAGCATGTCACAAATGATCCCACCCTCAGGAGCCCTACATCATTTGTTTGCAGCTTAACAAAATGACCTGAACTTTTTCATAAGGAAGGGTCCTCACAGGGGGTACATAACAGTGCCATTCGGGGACCTGTAAAATATACTGATGCCTGAACCCATTCCCTGAATTCAGTGAACTGATCAGGACTGCATTCTTGTATTGGCTGGGGGGCTTTTGTGTCTTTCTGTTTGGTTTCTAGGTTCCCCAGGGATTCTAACATCCGCCTTTACTCTTTTACTATGGCCCCAGCCTTCCTTTGTCTTTGCTTCATTTAACATCTCAGAAGACTGCACTGCACAATACAGATTAACCCACAAGTTATCTTGCTTCTGCTTGAAGATTCCTTGTGTCACTAAAAAGTGAAGACAGGAGAAACGCCGACCCAGAAGTCAACATTTTATTTATAAAAGCAAAAATACCAGTCTTAACAAGGTAAATCAGAAATATGAGGGAAGGTAACATAGCAGCCTTCACTACAAGCACTCCAGTTTTCTGTGCACTGGAAGTCTTGGGTTTTAATGCTTGACCTCTAATTAAAGTCTTAAGCACTAGTGCAGACTAGGTTTCGTTGTCATATAAATTAGTGGGTAAATGAGGACTTTCCACTGATTATCCTTCAAGAGACAGGAGTAAACTCTCCCGCAGAACCTCAAGTGCCGAATCTCACACTTCCGCACACTGCCACGTTCTGGGTCTGAATGCTTAACCTTCATGGAAGTACTGTCCTCTGAACAGATCAGTAGTCTTCAGAAGCCTCTTGCAGACTCTGGAGGTTTTGCAAGTTCTCAAGTTGGGCAAAGAATCCCAACCTGCAAGACAGTGAACAGCCGTGCAGTCTACAGTAACTACCCTAAAGGGAACACTTTTTTTCTATTGTTTATTACTCAGTACAAGCTATTTGAAAAGGCAAAGCTGACTATCACGTAGTCTTTAAAGAACATAACACCACTGTCTGAAGTGTCTGCTTTAAAAAAATGAAAACCTAACTTTGCTCCAAAGTCTAAAAGCAACAAAGGACTTAACTTATAAGACAATATTTTCAATAGTACAGGCTGGGGGGCCGCAGATATAGCTCAGCTGCACAAGTGCCTCCCTGCCAAGCACAAGGTCCTGAGTTCGACCCCCAGTACCAAAAAAAAAAAAAAAAAAAATAGTACAGGGTGCGTAAAACCTTCCATCCTTCCTAAAAGGAAAATGTAGCAAAATCTCTATGAACTCCCTATAAAATTCACATTAAAGCCACTGAATTCCACAACAAAATTTAAATTTCGTAAAAATACAGATTATGATTTTTGATACGTGCCAGTAATTTCTATCAATATGATGTCTTCCAAAAACAAGAACTACAGAAAAAGTTTGAACCTTTCTGCACAGAATCACCATCTTCTTCATCAGCTGCCTGTATATCCTATTTCTTCCATTTACTTATTAATTCCTTCATTTTTCTTCCATTTACTTGTTAATCTTCATTTAGATCGCCCTCCCCAGGCCCCAGGAATATGAAACTAAATCAAACACATGAAGTCTTCCCTTTCCTCTGGTTCTTATTTTTAGAACTTAAGTCTCAGGTATGTGTTTCTCTTCAGTCTCACAGAACACTTCTGATACACCATGTGTGGGGATTTCCAAACCAAACGATTCTTCAATTACCCAAACACCAACTCAGTGTCTTGGAATTTAATTCAATCTTCACACAATGTGCCTGGGCTTATTGGCAAATCCCAAAAGTGAAGGGCGTGGTCCACAGGACTGCTACACCAGCTACAAAGCAGGGGTTCCCACAACACACTCCGAGGTTGACAGTTTCCTAGAATGGCTCACAGAACACAGGGAAACCGGTTACTGACAAAGGATACTATAAAGGACAGACAAACAGCAAAAAGAAATGCACGGCATGGGGATGGCTATCTGGGCTTGCACCTGCCAGCTCTCCGCGTAGTCAGAACTGGGGGGCTGATCAAAGTTTCCTGCAGAGGCCCTTAAGAGAATGTAACCTCCTCTCGGTCACACCTGACCGAGACCAGAGGGGCTCAAACCCAAGGTTCTGCTGTCCAGCCCCATCACACTCGCCGCACTAGATAATGAAGGGGACTCAGACAACAAAAGACACTCCTGGCACTTAAGAATTTGAGGGTTTTAGGTCACTGTCACAGGAACTGGAAATAAAGATCAAATTCACACTTTATATCATGCCACAGGACTTTTAAAATTAAAAGCGTTTAAAAAATTAAGAACTCGGGCTGGGGATTTAGCTCAGCAGCACAGCGCCTGCCTGGCAAGCATGAGGTCATAAGTTCGATTCCCGGTACCGGAAAAGAAAAAAAAAAATTTAAAAATTAAAAACTCAAAAGAATTTTTCTGTGATAATTACATATCAGAAATTCAAACTGAGAAATGTTCAAAATTTCTCTTAAAAATACCAAGCACACACTAACATAACCTTTTATGGGAAACAAAAATAATCAGAATTCAAAAAAAAAATTTTTGCAAAATTCTACATTTCAAAAAAACTGTAATCAGGATAGACTGCATTGTCTGGCATTTTTCAGGATCACTTTAACTTTTGTTTAACAGAAGGCATATGGGTTATCGTATCTACTTCAGCACTCTACGTTTCATAACACACATCGTGGAGCATCTGGGAACCTCCATTAAACAGTGGCAAAAGAATGAGAAGAAAATTGGCAAATACTATTTAGACACTACTGTAAAAAAAATAGGAGACTTTCTAAAAGATTGTCCAACATGCTCACATTTTAAGAACCATCATTTTAAAATGACTGTGAGGGAAACTGATCGGAATACAGCCAGAAAAGCTCGGGGAAGACAGGAAAGGAATGAGACCAAGACAGCAGAGAGATCGCCTCACTTAGGCAGAGCCAGGAAAGGCCTCCTGGACACGAAACCAGACAGGAGACCTGAGCGACCCGCCCTGTGAAGGCCTAGGCAAGGAGAGTGCTCGACAGCAGTACACGCGAAATCTTTTACACAAAATGC